ATTGTTACTCAGTTGAACATAGTTGTCTGAACGGTTCAATTTACTACTGTTACTCAGGGGAGAGACGAAGGGTAAGAGACATCGAATGTTTTACTACACCTTTAATAATGTATGGCGTGGTGAAGAGGGAGAGGAAAGTCGTAAGACTGTCATATATGAAGCACACGACTCTCCCCTTCTTGCTTTCCATAATCCATCTGTAATCTGGTTAAGAAGAGTTATAAAAATATTCAAATCGACAAAAGAATATTCTATTCTTATCTAAAGATTATATTTGATCTATCGCATCATGGAACACAATGAGTTAGTTAATGTAACATAGAGAGACTGACTAAGATTACAGTAAAATACAGAGGGTTGAGTATATTAAAACAATCTTGAATGTTCAGATCAGCAAGTCTCCTGGCAACAACGGCAAACATAAAATCGCGTAGAATAGAATGTATCAGAACTACATTTTGACATTGGCGTTCCACAAGTGGCGCCTCTGCTCAAACGTAATCAATTTCCAGTGGCATCACAGCCTTACCGTGGCAAAAGATTCTTATACCCCGATAATAAAGATGTGCTCAGATCAGCAATTAATATAGAATATTCCTTGTAGTTTATAGCACTGGGAAAGAAAGGAACGTGAATAATCTTGACGACCTGCAACAAGTCGTACCACACTCGTGTTACGTAAAGTCGGTGTCTTTTAATAGGTGAGAATCTACAAACACAAAGGTCAGTATACTCTAAGCAACAGTACACAACATAATCAAGAAATATTTCCGCCTGGTTCACCAAGATAAGCCTCCGGTCATACCTCATATGTATTCGTGCTATTCCATACGAAGACATACCAGTAAATTTGTCAACAAGCAGTGCCTATAGATTTCTGCGCGATCGAACTATTGAAACGGGAGCTCGGAAACCACTATCCTCTTTCAATAAGTTGAAACGGTGTTGCTTGGGTATAATTGAGACGAAAAGTTAAAATATATGTCTGCAAGCGTGTACAGATCTGGTTAATTTGGAACTTTGCCTGGAAAGACGGGGGAGGGGGATTGGAAAGAATGTGACGACATCATACATACACGGACTTCAACAGAAATCCATCTCATAGTATCTCCAAAAGTCTGTTTACTCCACAGACCAAACCAGTTAAACAAAACATCGGTAGAACAATCTGGCTAGTGTAAAAGCTAACACTCGGAAAAAAGTAGTCAAAATTGAATCTAAAACTTAAGTAGGTCACGATAGATTAGGAAAGATTACAACAAACCCTGTGTGATTAGCCATCTTCAACCTTTAACTTCATAAAAAGTTCCTGTCTATTTGTGTACAAGTTCAACTCTAGTGTTCGTAATATTTTTAACTTTTACTTACAGCTGTTTTAACTTTGCTTTGATACAATTTTAATTAGGTGTATGTTTCTAATAATCATTTTATGTATTTAGTAATGTCTTCGTTCTTACATTCCTTTTAAAATGGCTTATTTCAATAATTTATATTTTCATTATTTGCTATTTTAACCCTTTTCTCGACCCTTTCTTCTTTTTTCGTTACTTTTTATTTCATATTTTTTTTTCTCACCCCCGTCGTATTTGCCTCTTACCCTACACCTAAACTCACGTGCAATACGCTCTTTGAAATTCAACATAAGCATTGTTTCAGCGGAGTCCTGACGAACTATAATTCTCACCACCAGCGAGAATTGAAACATCAGTCGACCTGTTTGCAGTTTTAAGTTAATGAGATGAGAATGTTCATTATGAGATCCAGAATACATAAATATAAATGTTGGTCGCTCTCACGTGTGCAGTCAACATACTGTACTTCCTGCCAATAAACAAGATGAGCACATGATTTGATTAAATTATAAAGGAAGCTATTTAACCTATCAATGAACGACAGTGTCACGTGCCAAGGATAGTGTTTCTACTGCCCTCTTTATTTTACTCAAGAAAATTATGATATGTTTAGCTGGTTAAAACTAATAAACGACACTTCCCATGTGCGGTAATGTTCAACATTCTTAGGTAATGATCTCCATTTATAGATTTTGATAGACTGATGTTTATTTGAAACGTTGATCTTTCAGTTTACCACAAGTTATATATATATACATAAATGGAACTCCACGTTTTTAAACACGTTCGTAGAAGTGTGTGACGGATGGTTTAACTTCACATCTATATTTTCAGCGACACACGTTTCAGGAGTTCCTACATTATTGTCAATACCCCAGGACCCTAAAGAATTGGCGGGTTCGCATGGTCTCAAGAGTGTAGTTGTGATACGGCCAATCAGGATGTATGACGTCATCCATGAATACCGTACATTGTTGTTGTTTTTAATGAAATAAATATAGCGCCATGAAAAAAAAAATTCTCAGGCGTCAAAAATTTAAATCACCAGGAGATCTGGCGTTTAATATTTTATTCGTCAGGATAATACAGTGGTATCTTACGTAAGTTTCAATGTCTCCCAACTTCCAGACATGTGTAGATTGTTACTTAAAGCGCCCCTAGTAACCGAATGTACCTTGGAACCAACGTTTGAGAAACTTTTGAAATTATTTATCAAAGTTTTGGAAATGGTTATAATGAAGACAGTGGTAATTGGATATATTTTTAAAACCTTTTCTATCACTGTTGCTTATGTCTGCACTGATATTTTACTATCTTGTATTGTATTTCGAGTAAAAAAAATATCGTTTATCAACTTTATTTTTTCTATTTAGTAGATGATCCACTAATTTATTGGGAAATCTTAGTTTTTATGTAAAAAAACCGTCAATTTAACTGACTAACTCAGTTTTATTCTATAAAAGTTTCTAAATCCAACAGAAGAACTTGATGAAATTCCACATATATAATTAAAAAGGAAAAAACAATTATGGTTCAAACAGGCCTATTTGTCACGTTCTGAGCAAGCAATACATTTAGGGTTCAAACGGGCCTATTTGCCTAGTTCTAGGCAATTTAACCTTTACAAAGGGGAGAAACGTTCTCTTACACCTACACAAGGATATTACCTGTAACACACTAACTTTTTCACGTGTTGTCTTATAATTGCTTTGGATCTTAATAAACTCTTTCAATTATATATACCTGGCGTTGCCTAGTGGTTAGCGTGCCGGACTTTGAATACAAGGGATAATGGTTTGTGTCCTGTTGCCCTAAAACCGTGCTAAGTACTTTGGGGCCGTTATAAGAGCGACGGTCAAATTCCATTTTGATTACAGCAGCCTGTTTGGCTCTCCGCCATCCCTCTAGTTTATCATTTACCGACAAGTGCAGAATTCCTTTGTGGAGATCTGTGAAACAAAAAAAAAACTCCTGTAACTTGTTTTCAACAGAATATTAATATTTACTGTTAAAATATTTTGGCGAAACTTAACTGCAAATTTAAACCAAAAAATACATATTTGCCTTTCAAATTTAAGACAAGCTACTATTCAACACTACTCCAGGGGTGGAAACAGCCTCTTCCTGGTGATGGGACTGAAGTAGGCTAGACAAAAAGTCAAAGGCGGCTTCACTCTATCAAGTAGTCAAAAGACATCCTCCCCGTATCTCTGAACATGTCATAGTAACAAAAGTTATCTTTTTAATGTCTTCTTGATTAAATACATCCTCCATTTCCTAGTGTGTGAATTGATAGATAAAATATTTTCTCCCTCTTCTGAAATTAATGGTACATGAATCATCTTATCTGGCTGACTTCAGCTTCTTCTTAGAGTGTAAAAACTATGACAACTTTGGCTTTTAGGATTTGATAATACATACAACTTTTAGGCATAATATCCATTACACAAAGATGTAACTTAGCATCAATCTTTTAGTAGTGCATTACAAAGTGACGTGACTTAACGTCAACCTTATAGTAATGCATTACAAAGTGACGTGACTTAACGTCAACCTTATAGTAATGCATTACAAAGTGACGTGACTTAACGTCAACATTATAGTAATGCATTACAAAGTGACGTGACTTAACGTCAACATTATAGTAGTGCATTACAAAGTGACGTGACTTAACATCAACCATATAGTACTGCATTACAAAGTGACGTGACTTAACGTCAACCATATAGTACTGCATTACAAAGTGACGTGACTTAACGTCAATCTTATAGTAGTGCCTTACAAAGTGACGTGACTTAACGTCAATCTTATAGTAGTGCCTTACAAAGTGACGTGATTTAACATCAACCATATATTCATGGATTACAAAGTGACGTCACTAAGCATCAACCTTATAGTAGTGCATTACAAAGTGACGTGACTTAACGTCAATCTTATAGTAGTGCCTTACAAAGTGACGTGACTTAACGCCAACCTTATAGTAGTGTATTACAAAGTGACGTGACTTAACGTCAACCTTATAGTAGTGCATTACAAAGTGACATGACTTAACGTCAACCTAATAGTAGTGCATTACAAAGTGACGTGACTTAACGTCAACCTAATAGTAGTGCATTACAAAGTGACGTGACTTAACGTCAACCTAATAGTAGTACATTACAGAGTGACATGACTTAACGTCAACCATATAGTGCTGCATTACAAAGTGACGTGACTTAACGTCAACCTTATAGTAGTGCATTACGAAGTGACGTGACTTAACGTCAACCTTATATTCATGGATTACAAAGTGACATTACTTAACGTCAACCATATATTCATGGATTACAAAGTGACTTGACTTAACGTCAACCTTATAGTAGTGCATTACAAAGTGACTTGACTTAACGTCAACTTTATAGTAGTGCATTACAAAATGACGTGACTTAACGTCAACCATATATTCATGGATTACAAAGTGATGTGACTTAATGTCAACTTTATAGTGAGATATTTTATTTTGTTTAATGTATCCAAAACAGAATTTTTAATCCATTAATAGTTTTTAATACTAATGTTAGTTGGAAAATTGTGCAATTGCAAAAGAAGTATACACTTAAAACTGCTCGTTTGAAGATTGATTACAGATCTGTATATTTCATAGGCTAAATAATCACTATGGAGATTGGTAGGAGGATTAAGAGACATGGTTGACAAGAATGAGTGGTGATGTGCATGGAGTACTTCTGTCCAACATTAGTGAAAAGAAATTTATCAAGTCATCAGGAAGATCTCCTGCAGATGGAGAAGAGAATGAACTTCAGAATGTACAGGCTGAAAGGTTCCAGAAACCCATACCTCATCCTGACACAGGGGCTCAAGATATTGGTTCACTGTGTGCTAGTCATTGGAGGGTATCCGGCCATAAAACTGAAACTTACGGAAACAGAAGGGATTTCAGAGGAGGAGAAAGTGAAACCCTCTCTTCAGAGCCTCAGTACAGTCCTCCATATTGTGTGGACAGCAACAACACATGTTGTTCTGATGTTAAACCATCATTTTCAGGAACTTCCAGTTATTTTAAATGGGCTGAAAACTTCCAGTGTCTGTTGCAGGATCTGGACGGAGTGAATCTGTTTAAGAAATATTTGTCTCAGGAAAAATGTGCAGATTGCTTGGACTTCTGGTTTGCATGTGAGGGCCTCAAGAAAGCAAATCCTACTGACAAGAACTATATTCAACAAGTGATTAAGTTGATATATAAAAAATTTATTAGATCTAGACTTGTAGAAATTAAATCTGAAATTAAAGAGGAGATAGCCAGTAAAATTGGCAATAAAATGGGGCTTGATCAAACAATATTTGATAATGCTCAAAAAAACATTGAAGACATCATGACAAGGACAACGTACCCAAATTTTCTAAAATCTGAGTTATACCTTGAACAGATTCAGCTTGTGCAGCAGAGTTCTCACCTCAAATTGACTAAACAAGTAGAAAGTTCTATGTTTGATAGCAGCAGTGGTACCTCTAGGCAAGGATTGGACATTTTACCAACATTACATGAAGAGTCTCAACTTCATGTTGGTCAAAGTCAGCAGCCAGTTTCTTTCATCAGGGAAACCTTGAAGAAACGGCCAAGGTTAATAGAAAATGTACCTCGTTATCGACCTGAAGCTCAAGCTGGGTAAGTTTGTTCCATCATATAAAGTAAATATGTTTTGTGTAATGATTCGGGTAAATACAAAATGTACCTCATTATCAACCTGAAGCTCAAGCTGGGTAAGTTTGTTCCATCATATAAAGTAAATATGTTTTGTGTAATGATTCAGGTAAATACAAAATGTACTTCACTATCAACCTGAAGCTCAAGCTGGGTAAGTTTGTTCCATCATATAAAGTAAATATGTTTTGTGTAATGATTCAGGTAAATACAAAATGTACCTTGTTATCGACCTGAAGCTCAAGCTGGGTAAGTTTGTTCCATCATATA